TTTCCCAGAAATTCAAAACTCTGCAGCACATACCCGGGACAACCCTGTAGATATTCTTGATCTGCTCACAATTTGAATTCAGATCTCATTCCAACATTTGAGGAGTGGTCCCCAAACCAAGGTTCCTTTACACTCAAAACACTGGCCTAGGGAGTTCCAACCACTGCCATCGTCAGCTTCCGCAGGGAGGAAATTCAACAGGGGTAGCTCCTCCGACCACTGCCTTCCCCTCTATGCTTTCCCCACAGAAGACGCCAGCGGCATTGCAACGGGTCCAGCCTCAACCACGACTTATCCGATGAAGCAATTTTGGGGTCCCTTTTTGGTCAGGCTGTAGCGGGCAGAATTTCAACAGGGGCAGCTCCCCCTGGCGGATTTGGCTCAGTCAGGCATCCGCCTGGCGGGGAGGTCGACACACGCCAACCCTGCGGGCAGCCAGGCCCACCTCTGCCTTCATGTTTTACATTAGCACAAAACAACGCCACAAATCTCAGCCCTGTTCTCTCCCTGCGGTTCTCGAGAGAGACGGGCAAAAGAGACCGAGGGGGGTTTGAAGCGCTCCCATGGGGACGAGGTCCTCCATCGGGGCTTATTAAAGCCACCAGCAACCTGGTAAACAGACTCGGTAATCAACCGAAAAGGATCGAGGAGATAAAACGCGTTTCTCAAGGGAGCTGACAGAGACCTGGAAGAAAACAAGAGGCCGGGGAGAGGCTGATTAAGGGAAGAAAATATCACAAGGCAGTCCACATGTTTCTGGAATAACCACACTGCTCCCCCCCCATCCCCGAAAAATCCCCTGATGTCTTAGGAAGGAGCTACGGCACTCGAAAACAGGGGAGGATAAAAAAAAAGGAACTCTGTACATGCCCAGAGACTTAGCTCTCGCTTTCCAGTAAGGTTAGGTGCATCTACAATTATGGCCACAGACGGCCACATGGGGCGAGAACCTGGTGCTTCCGTGACTTCTGAACTCTGTACATGGTCAGAAACACTGGTGACGTCTCCTAGGTCGGAAGCGTAAAGGAGGGCAAGCAGGCTGCGGGGGTGTATTTATGTGAAATGGGGCTAAATTTCGGGGAAGCTAAGGGCTGTCCCAGGAAGTCCGGTGTCACCCTGGTGACTCGAACCAGAGAGATGATTAATACAGAAAAAAGGACATTTGATTCAAAGGGGAAAGCACGCAAAATCACAAAGTTCTGTTGAGCGGTATCAGCACATCCGTTGTAGGTAAACCTCCACAAGTGGGCAGGTCTTTTGTACAGCTAATGGATCTCAATGGCATTTTGAAACCCAGGACGTCCCGCCATCGGTTGCAATGGGGTTCGGCTCGGCAAGACGGCAGCTAAGCTCAGAAGAAATCAGGAAGCCCAAAGGCAGGGGGGTTGAGCTCATCGTTAGAAGTAATTGCAGAAATTCCAGGCACTTCCAACTCAATGTCTGCTTTTGCTGTGCGAACCTGGACGCCGGGCATCCTCAATCCAGAGCCGGCTCTATCGTGGGGCAAAGGGCCACCGTTGCCTCGGGCAGTAGAGGCAGCGTGGATGGAAAAGAAAGCTATGCTCCGGTCTCCCTTAAAACCCCATAACCTCGTTCGTCTCTGTTCTTCTGGGGAGGGACAGAAGGCGGTGGTGTCTTCTCACTGGCCTGGATGCTGTAACGGGAAAAGGATGTTCTTTGTTTTCCTGCTATAATTCATTCGCTCTCTCGGGATCCCATCCCTACCTCTAAATCAGTGCCGGAGAAGGGAAGGGAAAAAAGATCGAAAGAAAGACAGAAGGAGAAGTTGGCAGGGCTTAGAAAACCATCAATCGGGTCCAAAAAACCCTTCTGGGAAGCCCAAGGAGGCACAGAGAAGGTCTCAAAAGAAGGGGAAGCCGAGGAGAACATCTTCACCTGTGGCATCGGTGGCCTGATGTTCTATTTAGGTCTGTTCTCCCTGCCTGGTGGTCTTGGCACTCGATCCCCACTGGCCTACCTCACAGAGCTGTTGTCGAGGGAAAGGCACTCTGCCCACGCTCAGAGAAGGGCGCATCGCAGCTGGGTTGCGTGTGGGCACCAGCGCAGCGAAACAGGCTGCCCCGTGAGACAGCTCGGCGTGGCCTCATCCAGCCAGAGAATTCGAAATACAGAACAGATATCTATTCCATGGCTCCTTACTCGTCTAACATTGTTACTCGCCTTGCCGGTCCAGGAGGTCAAGGCTCTCGGCTCTCCTCCCTATTTTGGTCATCACAACCACCCTGCGAGGTAAATCAGGCAAGGAGTGGGAGGGAGAAAGAGGAGCCAACTTGACCGGCTTTCATACCCAGGCTGGGATCGGGACCCCTTCTCTCCCCACGGCCACCTAATTGAGCGCCACAAATTGTACTCCGGAAGAGCGATTTGCGAACGACAATGGAGCCTCCCTGTACAACCGCAGTCTACAATGATCCTGGCATAGCCGAGATATCCCCTCTGGTTTAGCATGGCTGTTTCTTAATTATTTCTCTACCACCTCCCTCCCCCTGGGTATTCATGACCATCCCATAATTCAAGAGTAGCTGTTTTTTTACCCAGGAATGATTCCTGGGAGGGTGGAGGACGGACCCTCAACCGTGCTTCCTAAAAAGTAAAGCAGGTTTTCCTTCAAACACGCCGGGGCGCCGGTGCCTCCCTGTCTGTCCTCCTTGGCAGGCTGGCACCGGGAGGGTTAAGCGCCACGGCAGAGAACACCGCTAGATCACTTCTGCACGACTGGGTTTTTAGAACAGCGCGTCGAGGGCAGTGGCACCTTCCATCATCCTGTCGGAGCTGGGCAGATGGATTTCCCCTGGCAGAACCGCTGGGAGCGAGCGAGCGCGGCCGAGGCACGGCGCCCAACCGCCCGGGGAACTGTGCAAGCGGTGGTAACACAAAAAAGGACGGGGGGGAGAGGAAAGGAAGCCGTTCGTGGCCCATCTGCTGGGGAAAGAACCGAGGAGCCCGCATCCCAACGACGTGCCACACCTCCCGATGCGTGTTGTGGCGAGGGGTGGCGGGTGCGGGCGGGCAGGGACCGCGGTAAGGCGCCCAGTGACCCCTTGGAAGGAGGAGCATGGGTGTGTGCCCAGAGTATCTGCTGGGGTGGGCCGGATCCCTCTCCCCCCTCCCCAAGAATCACACCGTGTCAGATCAAGGATGCATCGCAGCTGAATACCGATGGCAGCATCTCCCGGAGCGCCTGGAGGAGGGTCAGAAGCAAGGCATGATGGGAATATCCTTCCCTCGTTATTAGGCATCGGTCGCAGCTGGAAGGCAAGGCGCACTCGTCTTGAACCTGGCGCTTCTGAATAGCTCAGAAGGGACGCCGCCCCTCATGGATCTTCCCTGACGGCCCACGACCCGGACCACGGAAAGAAGGAGCGGGGGCCCTTTTCCGGCCCTGCGTAGAAGGAGTCAGGAGATCCAGATGTCGGCCTGAAATTTTCTTTTTTTAAAAAAAAGCTGCCTGCTGTGCCTTAATACCAACCTGATAAAACTGGAACCCAAAATCTGAATTTTAAAAAATAAGGCTAAGTGGGAAAACATGTCTTAAAGGAGATATCCCACCTCTTTTTTTAAAGCCAGTGGCAAGGAGTTCCATAGACTAGAGAGGAGGATCTTCAGCCCCTGGGTCTCTCTCTCTCTCTCTCTGTATGGTCTTGCTCATCTCTCAAATACAGCTCACCCCTCCTTCCGTGTTAAGCACCACGAAATGCCGTCTGTGTGGCCAAAGGCCCCGAGCGCAGCATTTTAAAACATTTATTGAAAATGAGATTATGTGTGTGTTTGGGGGTGTGCGGTGTAACTGCTCCACGCCCCACCTCATCCACATCCTGACACGATCCAGGCAGTCCTCCTAGTTCAGAACAAACCAATCTAGCTAGCGCCAGATTGGGCAATGCATCGCCTTCCAAGTGGGACTGGATCACAATCCCTATCATCCCCCATCCTGCTCATAGATACCATCAAGACAAGAAGGAAATCGCGATCCAAGCATCTATGGATGACCCCAAGGGGCCCAATATCTCATACGGCCTGTCCGGTGTGTTTTCTGCGTCAGCGAACACAAATTCATGACATTCTCTCTCCCCTGCTCATTGCCCCACAATTGGCGTCATTCGGAGATAGACTGCTTCCCCATCTGGAGGTTCTACTTAGCAATGAGGACCAGCGTCCCCTCAAGGAACGGATCCATGGAAAAGGGGAGAGAGCCCGCTCCGAGCCCTTCGCCTGCCGACAGGGAAGGTCACGAGGGAAGAAAAAATCCGTCGTAAAAATCTCCCAAAGCCAGCGGAAAATTCATCGGGCGCAATTTGCAACGGGGCTTTTCGAGCGCGCGGTGGCTGGGCGCGAGACGCACGGGTGAGAAAGTGATACGAGGGCTGGAGGCACAAGAATGACTGAGGCGTGTGTTTCGGCCTCTCATTAAAATCAGAACCCAACGGGGTTCATCTACGAGGGACCGAAGAGGTGGGATTTAAAACAGAAAAAGGGAAACCTGGCCTTTTCCACATGGAGTAGAATTAAAACCACAGACGGCTGCCAACTCCGATGGCTTTAAAAAGGGATTAAAACAAATCCATAGAGGATCAGGCTATCAACGACTCCTTGCCAGCAGGAGTATATATATATATCCTCTCATCGGGCATTATGTTTCGGCGTCTCCGTTTCCCGGGAAAAGCCGGTGGGAGCCAAACTCGCATCCCATTTCTGAGCTTCCCGGGAACATCCGGCTGGTGGGCTGCGTGAAGGAAAGAAGAATTAGGAATGGAGCCTCCCCATGCCGAGGCAGTCTACCTCTAAATTCCTAGCCACTCTGGCGCACAACGAGGGTGTGCTGTTCTCCACGCGGGGTCACCTTTCTCAGCCGCCGACACCAGCTCTGTTCGAAAGCCCGTACGGGGAGCTACGATCCTCAAGGTTTTAATTCTGATTTTTATTCTGGACTACAAATCCCATCGGGTCTAGCCAGCTTGGCAAGAGTTTTGGGAAGTTACCGTGCGACAATTTCTGGAGAGAAAGAGAGAGAGTGCAGGGGGGAGCATTGGAGGGGCTGGCATGCCTATGAGTTATTTTACCTCTGTTACAAATTTGGGCCCCACAGCCTCGGCATCAGCCCGGCGCTGCCCCCCTCAAGCCCCACCACCCCGGCTGGCCTTCGTCCCAGCTTTTCAGCGGAGCAGGGAAATATTGATCGGCAGAGAGTAAAACAGCTCATTGATTTTACACCTTCTTCCCCAACAGCGTTCCTAGTAACACAGAAATGGCATGGGGAGTTGTGGGGGGCGGGGGAGTTAAAAGGCAGCTAGGCTCTGGCTATGGGGCTGAGTAGGGAGGCTGGTTTCTTCTGAGACCCCCTTTCCTGTGCGTGCCACAGAAAACGGCTCAGCTGGCCCACTGGGCCGCCCGTTCTGCCGGAGCTGGCAATGAAAAGCTGCCTACGGTGCCCGCTTCGCCTAGCGGCGATCCGAATCCCACCCAGGCGAGCTGAAGGTAAGGGGCGGAAAGGTCTTGATGGTTGCTGACCCTGATGCCCAAAGAAAGCAGGGTGTTCGACAGAAACCTTCTGTAGCGTGGAATTTCTCCCACTGTGTCCTATGATCCCCGAAGGGAAGGAAGACACACAGTCCTTGCTTGGTGTTACGACGACCCTACAAGGCGGGACTCCGGTGTGCCCATTTTACAGACGGAGAGATACAATCCCCATGGGGCAGCAGTCTCTGGGTGGAGAAACAACCACTTAAAAATGTGATTCTTTTCCCTCTTTTCCCCAAGACAATGACCCATAAATAATCCATACAGCCACATCTCCATCCATAGGCGAATAATTTTTCCTAGGCTACTCATTTTGCAAACCAACGCAACCGCGTGGCTTTCTATGCTACCTCCCTACAGTTCTTTCCTAAACTGGGGTCATCTCAGGTGTCAAATGTATTTGTGAGGGATGGGGAACCTTCATCCACAGGAAAAAACAAGAAAATCATGAAAATCTACAGGAAAAGAACCTCCTTGTTCCGAGGCAGTCTACCTCCAAACCCCAGTTCCCTTAAATGTATTTGTGAGGGGTGGGGAACCTTCATCCACAGGAAAAATATGAAAATCTTGCTATCTACAGGAACAGAACCTCCTTGTTCCAAGGCAGTCTACCTCCAAACCCCAGTTCCCTGGAGGGTACAAGACAGAGAACACTACCTGGCTTTCCTGGAAGCAGGTGAGTCAAGAATGTCATAAGGGTGCTTTAGTGGAGGGGTGGGGACCCTCAGGCCGTTGGGCTGAATCCGGCCCTCTCTAGTAACCCCCCCCCCGGTCACGCCTCCTTCCCCAAACCTCCATCTTTGCGTGGATTTCCCAAAGCTTGGGTTCTGATTTCCAACGTTTTGCCAAGCCCATTCTATGGGGCTGTTTTTACTACGACAAGGATAAAATCAATCCGCGCAGGAATCATCTAGTCCTACTCGGTTATAAGGCAGGAATCTACAAGAAGGCCGAAACAAGAAGAAATTCAGTCGTACAACAAATCTTTCCCACTGTTTCGTTCCTTGCCAGAACGTTTAGCAGAAGAGGCCACCAGATCCTTACAGGCAAGCCTTACGGGATTCGGGGGGGAACCCCTTTAAGAAATGTACAATTTTCTGTACAAATTTACCGATTTCCAGCCGTTCCCGTTCCCGAGGCCTCCAGCTGATCAACTGACCGATTTTCGGAGGCTCGTTGCGAACAGCGCTGTTATTAAATCTGATTTTAGCCATGTTTGTAAGCCGCTCGGCTTGTAAAGGGGCCGTAAACACCAAAGAGATAAATAAATACATGCCCATAAAACAAAATAAGTGCTCCGAAGCGGCGCGGAACCTTTTAAGAACATCGCCCCCGTGCAACCGAAAATTTACCCCAAAATCTTTGTGGGACGGAAACGAAGGGAGAAGGTTAGAAAAAGTGTCGGCTCGGCATAGGAGCGTCTTATATTTTTCTCCCCACTGCCTTGATGGAACGGCCACACTGGTTAATTCCCTAGCAAAGACTCAACCCAACCCGCTTCGGCTAACAAGATCAATGGGACTTTTAATTGAGTTTTAATTAAGCGATCAATCTGGAGCTGGCAACTCAATTAAGGGCCCGCGCAGCGAGAGGGAGCGCAGCCCACCCCCCAGGTGGCGTTTTCGCAGACTGCGGCAGGCCACGGAGGACTCCCGGCAGATGCCCGTGGGTCCTTCATCCGTGGGCCCGCCACGCCTCAGGGCCGGCGCCTTCTCCGACCCCACACGTCCTTACCACGGGGGTCAGAAGGGACAGATCACCTCCCACGAAAGCAGGGGTTCGGGGGGGGGTGTCCTCACAGACTCCAAACTTCCCAGCAAGACGCGAAGCCCATGCACTGACATTCAGAAGCTATGCTGCCCAACCTCGGTGGATCGGGCCCACAGTTGGTGGAAGGGGGCCATGTCCTGCTGCTCACAGTAACCAGCCTGGCGCTTCTGGGAATCTCACAAGCTGGGCATGGATGAGAGAACCTCAAAGGAGTGGGACGGATTCTGCCCACACAGAGTCCCCATCAGACTTGCTACATCTTCCTAGGGTTAGTAGAACAAGGCTATTTTGCACGTGTTACTCACATTGGGCCATAATTCTGCAGCAAAGCATCTACCTTACATGTCAACGTTTGCAGGATCAAGCGCTAACACCTCCAGGAACGAATCCTCTCCTGAAACTCTGGAAAGACTCTTCTAATGAGCATCGACATTGCCGGGCTACCTACGATCGGATTCAGTCGAAGCCGTCCTCCGATATTCCAATTTCTGACCAGCCGTTAGAGATAACGGATAAAAAGCTATTAAAAGCCAGGCAACGGTCGCAAGGCAGCGAGCTTCGCTTTGCCAGCCTGCGAAAGCCATGGGCACAGAGGTGAGCTGTGCTTTGCCAGCCCAAGAAAGTCACGGGATGGGGCTGAAATGTCCTTTGCCAACCCAGCAAAGCCACAGCACAGAGGTGAACTGTGCTTTGCCAGCCCAAGAAAGTCATGGGATGAGGGTCCGCTGTGCTTTGCCTGCCCAGAGAGGATGCCAAGGCCTGGAAGTGACCTGTGCTTTGTCAGGTCTGGGAATCCATAGATTGGAGTCGAGCCGTGCTTTCATGGTCCAGGGAAGCCATGAGACGAGCTGTGCTTTGCCAGCCAGATGAAGCTCTGCTTTGCAGTCCAAGAGTCTACACCCTTGAATGTACTCTATCCACATAGAGATGATTCACAATACATAAAAACAAGCTGATGTTTCCTACCACAAACAGATCTTTTGGATACTCCCTCCCCAAAAAAGCCAGGTGTTCTCAACCGGCCTCGAGCATCTGCACCCACGTTTGCTGCCTTGTACACGCCTCTAATTGTCTGACTTTTGTGGCCCTGTCCTTTCCCATCCTGTTCAGCAGAGACACCCGGTTGCCAAATCCCCAAACCGGCTGACGCCGTGAGTCACGGGCCAGGTTTTGAGGCTCTGCCTTGCCCTCGGGGACCCCGCCACCCAAAGGAAAAAAAAGGGTGCCAACATCTCCACCTGGCCCAACACTTTTGCTGACAGGAAGCCCTGCCCTATTTCAAACCAAGAGTGCTGGAGTTTTAAAATAAAGTGGTACCTCGCTTTACGATTGCCCTGCATTACGACAAATCTGCTTTACGATGATCTTTTTGCGATCGCAATTGTGATCGCAAAACGATGGTCTAAATGGGGGAATTTCGCTTTGCGATGATCGGTTCCCTGCTTCGGGAACCAATTCTTCGCAAAACAACGTTTTTCTAACAGCTGATTGGTGGTTTCAAAATGGCCGCCGGGTAAACAAAATGGCTTCCTGCTGTGTTTAGGAACGGATTCCTCACTATACAGGCAGCGAAAATGGCCACCATATGGAGGATCTTCGCTGGACAGTGAGTTTTTACCCCATTGGAATGCATTGAACTGGTTTCAATGCATTTCAATGGGGTTTTTTATTTCGCTTTACGATGTTTTCGTTTAACGGCGATTTTCCTGGAATGGATTATTGTCGTTAAGCGAGGCACCACTGTACAGAGTCATAAGAAGTAACTTTTGTTAAGTGCCACCAGTTGTACCAGACAGAAGACTCTGGAAACTATAACCAAACACATCATTTTTCCAGGCGATACCCCACGGCAGCGCCTTTCCTTCTTTCTAACCCCCTCTGCCACAGATCCACAAGGGTCTGGCTGGCGTTGCTCAGGTCCGGATGGACAAGCACTCTGTGCATGCTCAGGGAGACACGCTTCTTTCTGCTCTTGTATTCCTTTGTGGCAGCTTACATGCTCAGGGAGACACGCTTCTGCTCTTGTATTCCTTTGTGGCAGCTTTGAAAAGACAAGTCGCCGAAGCTTTCCAAACAATGCAGAACGAGGAATGTGCTGGCCCCATCCTGCATCATTCCCTGCCCCATGTCCTGGCAGGTAAAACCAGGACCTAATTAGGCAAAATAAGATTAAGTTACTCAACGGATGCTCTGCTGCCTTCGTTCCTCCCCTGGTTATACTGGGCCTGGCCTTTTCTTTTCATCACATCTCCTCCACGCAGAGACTCAACGGGTGCTCTGCTGCTTCTTTTCATCACATCTCCTCCACGCAGAGATGCAACTTTAGATTTCAAGACTGGAGACGCCTTGGGGCAGAGCGCTGTTCTGCTTCAATACAACTCTCCCATCCGGGAGGAAAAGAATGCAGCCTCTCCGTTCCCAGGACGGATCAGCGAGCCAATTTTGCGGCTTGCACTTCCCATGTTAAGCTCCGTGCTCTGCTGCTTCTTTTCATCACATCTCCTCCACGCAGAGATGCAACTTTAGATTTCAAGACTGGAGACGCCTTGGGGCAGAGCGCTGTTCTGCTTCAATACAACTCTCCCATCCGGGAGGAAAAGAATGCAGCCTCTCCGTTCCCAGGACGGATCAGCGAGCCAATTTTGCGGCTTGCACTTCCCATGTTAAGCTCCGCGGCTGAGGTCTCCGGCTGTGGAGCCGGAGGTTGGGATTCCCAGGGAGGATCAGCGAGCCAATTTTGCGGCTTGCGCTTCCCATGTTAAGCTCCGCAGCTGAGGTCTCCGGCTGTGGAGCTGGAGGTTGGGAGTTCGAATCCGCACGGCGCCTCCCGCTAGAAGAGCCAGCCTGGGTGGCCTTGGGCGAGCTGCACAGTCCCGGAGCCACCCCCAGAAAAAGGGAGGGGGAAACCGCTTCAGTGTATTCCCTATCTGGAAATCTTGAAAAGAATCGACTAGACAGCACATGATTATGGTGTATCTGGAAATCTTGAAAAGAATCGACTAGACAGCACATGATTATTATATGATTACATGCAGTGCTACTAGTCCTCATTAGGCACCTAAGATGAGAACACATGGCTACTTTCCTTCTCTGTGTGTTTTAAGAAGATGTAAACTCTGGATTTCATTTTAATTCTGGTTGAAAGACAGACGCACAGGCCTAGCGAAGCTGAATCAAAAGGCGCCGGTTTTTCGCTTCGTGCCCTTTATCCTTTCCCAGAAGAACCACAGGCATCTTTTGCTTTCTGCCCCCCATCGTTTCCAGGCAGGAAAGCCGCCGGCCGCCCGGTCGTCTCGCCCGCCCGCCCGCGAGCAAGACATGCCAAGGCGACCCGCTCTGAGAGGCTGCCCTCCAGCTCAACAGCTCTGAGGGCTCTGAAGACGCCGCGCCGCGAGCGTGGAGCGCCAGCCGATAAGAGACCCCTTGAAGTGGAAACGGCAGGGAGACTACAAACCGAGGCGGGAGGCCGTGGACAGCCAGGGATCGTGGTGCGCTCCCCACCCTTTCCCCAAGCACCTGCTCTGCGTATGGAAGAACAGCCCTCTTAGAACTGCAGAGCTAGAAGGGGGCCCACAAGATCATCCAGCCCAGCCCCCTGTCCAGGAAGACTCCATGGGGGGATTTGAACTCTCAACCTCTGGCTCCAGAGCCTGAGGCTTAAACCCAGCCATTCAATATCCCCAGGGGAGAAAGAGAGGGGAAAATGGAAAATAAGAGGAATTCTGTGCCACAAGATGCGGACTCTGTTTGCCTACCTCCCAACTTCACCACGTCTTTCTCTTTTTCATTTCTTCTTTTATTTATATTTTGATTTCGTTTTTTAACCTATCCTCTCCCCCCCCAATTTATCTTCCTTCTGACGCCTCAGCGAGAGGGAAGAAATGTAAACCTCAAATTGTTCTTGGCTGACACAGATCTAATCTGACCTTGAAGCGGCCTGCGTTAGGCCAGGCGGCTGGCCACCTTTGGCTGATTCCCCCAGAAGCCTCCACGCTTAAACCCCGACGCCTCGCGGGGACGCGCGGCCGCTAAACAGCCCCCCCAACGCTGGACGGCGGCCAACCTTTTTCAAGGATGCGTTATCGGCCTGACAAGGTAGATCTCGGTGTGGCGGACATAAACGCAAAGCGGCAGCTTGCTTTTCCCCCGGCCGCGCTCCCAGACGGCAAGCGAAGCAGCTGCTGAATCGTGACTCCCTTCGCGGTGTCAAACGCCGGTCTGGAAGTGAAGGCTTCCGTTCCCTCTTTTTTTTTCCATCGGCGTCGTCCCAAGCCAAAAAGGCACGCTTCGGAGATTAAACTATAACATCCCGTGCAAAACGATGGCAATTTCCTTCATTTCTCTTCCTAAGACTCCTGTGACGCTCTGAAGCTTGCACACTTTCTTCCTCCTCCCCCCCAAAAATTATATCTTATCTCTCTTTGTTCCAGGAATCCAAGGGGAC